AGAGTTCAAGAAAGAATTAGGTAAGGTCATGGAGGATAGATCCACCATTAGCCAATATGGTCAGGAATGCAGCCGCATGTTCTGAGTGTTCCTGCCCTCTGATTGCCAGAAGCCGGGAGTGGGCAAGAGCAGTGGTTGCCTGTTCTTTTCTTTCCCACTGAAGCACCTGGCATTGGCCACATTGGAAGACAGGGCACTGACCCAGTATGGTCTTTATGTTCTTATGCTGATGGTCTTACTGACTTGTAGCTTTTTTTATTTCAGTGGGCGTATTTCTTTATTTCATGCTAGAAGATTTATCTAGCATTGCTTTGGTTCTTCAGAGCAGGGGGGCTGTGGATATGGGGATGCAGGAGTCAGGACAGGGGGTTGGAAGGTGTGGGGAGGCTCTGGGCGGGAGTTGGGGTGTTGCAGGAGTCAGGGCGGGAGGGGAGGGGTGCAGGAGTCAGGGCAGGGGGTTGGATTGTGTGCAGGGATGCTCCTGGGGAGCGTGGGGGCCATGTTGCCTGGCTGGCAGCATTGCTCCCCCAGGATGGTGGGGGCTGCGGTGCCCGGCTGGCAGCTGCTACCTGGGGCTGGCGCGCTTGTGTCCCCCCATGGTCATTCTGGAGTATAACTTTCCTTGCTTCCACTGCCCTCCCTTTCTGTTTGATGAGAAACAGTCGGATTCCAGGCACATCCCATTGCTTTAGCACAACCAAACCCGTAGCTTGTTTCAAGTTAGGAGAAGAGGAAATTTGGTGGTCCTAGCTCTCACCGTGTAGGAGGAGTTCTTGAACACACAGACTCACAGACAGACAGACACATCAACTCTCAAATATATAGTAGATAAAAAGGAATGTTGAGTAGAATTTATAAAGGAAATCAAGTGGACAATTCCAGTGGCATATGAGTAGAGTAATAGGCAACCGGTTCCGGGGCTGGTGGAAATGAGGTGCTATGAGACAGGAGGCTGCTTCTGGTGTTGGCATCAAAATTCAGTTCCCTTTGGCCCCGTGTGTGGGTATGTTTATTCCCTCACAAGCACCCTTTTCCGTAGCTTCCTCCCCTGCTCCATTTTCCAGGTGAGTTCAGAACAAGTCATCATTTAAACATTCCCTGCATCACGCTTGCCTTCTGGAAGGATCCAGCTGAAAGAAATTCATATTCTGCTGGTATTTGAATCCTTCTCTCTTTCTGCGTGCCCCCTCCCCGGCCCTCCCCAGTTCCTGCTCCCTGAAGGAGAAAAGAACATATCAACCCAAAGACAGCACTGCAACCTTTTCTTCACTATCTCCCATGGGGCGCAAATTGAAATTGAATTAGACAGGGATATCAGGTCTGCTCGCTGTGATAACTGTAAAAGGATTTTATTTAAAAACACCCTGACATTTGTTCACCCAGTTTCAAATATTTAGCTTCCCTCCTTTCCTTTCCTAGCGGGGGCGACTTTATTAATTGTCGCCTTTGATTCAGAGTTAAAGCTTGAAAGCACTGATAACGGCAGTGGTGACGATTTCTTCCTGCAACGTGGCCCACAGCAAAAGGATTTCATTTTCTTAAAGACGTTATGTGTTCACTGAGATTTAAAAAAAGGGGGGGGGGGAGGAAAGCCCTTCTTACGTGCCTAATGCCAGCTGCTCCTCACTGATACGAGGAATATCTGATCTCGCACTCCTTTTATATATTATTTATTTTCTCTGGGCTGTTACTCTCTCTGGATTTTTATTTTTCTTTTCTTAAGGAAAAAAATGGAAGAGGCAACTAGAATGAGAGTGCTGTTGACAGGAGAAAATGGTAATTTAAAAAAAAATCTCTGAAAATACTTCAAAGTTGGGATAAATATTAACCTTTTTTATTTTTTTTCTCCCTCTTTGCGGTGCTGCAGAGCACAGATAAATCCAAGTGGCTATGGCACTGGCGTTTAATTTCCTTAAGAAGTTTTCTCTGCTTCACGGAAGAATGTTGTCTGAGACCAGACATATAATTGGATGATTAAAGGGAGCCATCTACATCTGGTTATGTTTAATAAAGGCCGGTACAAGAAGTCAGTGGTAGCTCCGTAGGATTGTCACAGTGCAGCGTATGAGAGGCACACGTCTCTGCTTGGCTATTGGCTCTTGCTGTCTGTTAGCCAAAAGATGCAGGTGACTGGATTGAGTGGCGACATGGAAAGTGATTTTATTTTTTTGGATTTGCCTTATAAACCGTGAAAGGCCTAATTGCAAAAAGTCTTACACGCTAGCTGTCCCATTCATGCCTGCTGCAGGCACGTTAATAACTAGATCATGGGCCAAATAACCCCTTTATTAGTCTCTCAAATCCTTTGCATGGCATTTCTCCAGCCTCACAATGCATGTGATGTGCAAAAGGTAAATAATGGAGCGAGAATCCGAGACGCTCTTGTGTGAAGTTGTCCACCTTTGTCAGGAATGGAGGTGATAGCTTCTTTGAAGGAGGATAACATTGTTATTATTTAACGTCTGTGCACTCTTCCCGTGTGCACAGCCTTTTGCAAAACACATGCAAGGCAGGAGCCAACGGGTATGCTACCCTGCAGCAGGGGGTTAGCCTCCCAGCCCTAGTGAACAGACTAATGCTAGCCCACTGAAGGGCATGGGTCTTAGAGTTGGGTTCCAACCAAAGCAGAAGTGACTGCACTGCTGTTTTCAGCCCCCATAGCATGAGAGCCTAGGTCAAATGCTCTGGGCTCTGAGACTTGCTGCTGTGAATTTTTTTTTCAGTGTAGGTGTATCCCAAGGGAGTAGCATGCAGACAGCAGAGTGTAAGGAGCAACATACTAGCACCCATCAGAATGGAGCCCATGGGGCCTTACCCTTCCCCACCCCACCTCAGTATGTGATGCCACCCTAGAGAATTTGTGTTCCTGTTTGAATCAGCAATACAAAGGCACATCCGTCATTCAAGGAACAGGGAGCGTGTGTGCAACCGTTGTGTATGCACAGCAAGTTACTGTCCCGTTGGTGTCTGATTTACTTGTTGGGGTGGAAGGCAGTGGGAGGTTTGTAGGATTTGGTATGGTGTATGTGGGTTTGTTTGGGTTTGGATTTGTGTGGCTCTTCTGGTATCCGTTCCCATCCCTTCCTATGATTGGTGCTTTTCATTCAATTTCTCCTCTGTAGGGACAGGGGAAGCATTTCCCGTATCCTACTAATTAAGTATCGATGCAATGTGTATCAAGTCCACGATTAGTCGATAAGGGGCTGCTGCTTCTCGGCGGTTTAAATGTAGTAGGAGCTGGGTGAGCTGGCAACCTGGCTTCTGCTACATTTAAACTGCAGAGCCGCAGTGAGAGTAGGTCTGGGACCCGGCACGACCCAGGACTGCTTCAGTTCCAGCCTGCACCAGGTCCTATGCTGTACCTCCCCCTTTTAAATTTAGCGAGAGTACCGGCTCCTGCTCCCCGCTTTCCCCCTTGCTGCCTCTGATATAGAGGCAGAAAGGGGGGAGGGAAATGAGGGTAGTCGACTATTTTACTACTTTTTTACATCCCTGTATCCTACCGCAGTGTTAAGTGCTTTGTGATGAGTTCGAGTAGTTAAGAAATGAGGAAGTAACTGTAATCCAGCAGAGTGACATTGCAATGTTAAATGCTTAATCCACCCTACTAGTGCAAGCACGGCATGTAGCCTGTTGCTTCTGGAAAGAGAAAAATACTGTAATTTTCAGAAATATCTTTTAATTCCCCACTTAAGTTCTTAGATGTTCTCTTTTTCAACCTATTGGCCATCCTAGCCACTTAGAACAAGAGGTTTAGCAAATCCGAGAAAGGTGTGTTCCCCTTAATAGGGCTGAAGACTCTAAAACAACTGTGCTGATGTGTTGTACTGTTCCTCTTATCAGAATTTGCTCTAGTATTTAAATGTCTTAATGTCAGCTTGGTAAATGGAGATCCATTACTTATTAGCAGGAAGATTTGTGGATAAGTCAGGCTTTGATGGTCAATGTTTTGACAGATATATTGGTGTCCTGGGTATTTAGAAGAATATGTGGATCTGCCCTGGATGGAGAAGAAAGAAAATGTTCTTTTCTCCACTATACGCATATTGCATTGCGTCTCCTGGCTCCTCATTTCAGAATTCGCAGTATGCCTGGGAAGGATCTGTTGTATTACATCTGGTACTGATTCATCTTAGCACGGCGGGCTCACGCTTTCTCACTCGACTTAAAATATCTGCCTCAACTCTGTGCCACGGTGGTTAATTTCCCATCCCAAGGCAGATGGTAGTATCCTAATGTAGGAGCATAGCACAGAAAGAGTGAGTGTGTGCGAGAGAGAGAGCGCGAATCAGTCAGAAGACAAAGATCGTGTGGGATGCTTGTTTTTAGAATAATTATTAAGACAGAAGGAATTATAAATACCTTATAAATTGCTATCAGTTAAAATAAAAACCTCTAAAAACTCCACTAGAGTAAAAAATGGTAGGTTTTCCTCCTTGATAAAAATACTCTAAAATAGTGCAGTTTCTCTATTCAGGAATTGCTGAAAACTGTTTGTAAATGAGGTTATTGGTCCCTGAAGGTCACTCCTCATCCGCCCAGCTCTGTACTTCCTGGGAGCTCACCCCTGGCCTGCAGGGCTCTGGAAGGGGCCAATGAGTGGAATAAATCAAAGGAATTTTGTATACTTACTTTTTTCAATCTCAAAATGAATACTATTGTGCCTGTGCAAACCAGGGGGAGGGGAGGCTAAGCATCCCAAAGTGACACTCCTGACTATGAATGAATGAGTGAAATAAAGGGGAAGATTAAAAAAACTCCTTGGAAAAACAACATGAAAGGAAGAAGGGTCTGGTTCAGCCCTCTAGATGCGAATAGGGACTTTGCATGTGACTCTGATGGGAGAAGGATCAAGCTCCAAGTGAGAAATGTTAAGAGATGCAAAAAAGGAATGGGGCCGAGAAAGCAGCCCTTTTGCGGCTGGGAAGCAGGCAGCCTCGTCTGCTTGAGTTTGTATGGGAAGTCTGTGCAAATGCTCTTTGTTGTCTTGTCGATTTCAGGTGAGTCATCAGCTGGGTAATGTGATGGATCTCTTCACCACCAGCCTTTCCCTGGCGGGACTGCAGCATCCCACAGACAGACAGGTTGACGGTATTGACCTTTTACCTGCCATCCGGCAGGGCAGGGTAATTGACAGGTTAGTTATGAGTGCAGAGCTCACAGCTCCTCCCTCATGCTTCTTGGACGGGCGTAGAACTCATTTGTTTATTTTAAAAATCCCTTTTTTTAAATTATGGTTACTTTTGCAACTGGCCCGGTGCCCTTTGTGTTCCGAATAGCTGAATCGGGGTGAGCAGTAGAGATTGACTTTCTGTGCTAATTACCTGCTGGAGCTAGCCAGGTGGGACTACTTGAAACTCAGCAAATTGCCATGAAATGGATTCCATGGGCACGTTCAAGTGTCAAGGGGTTAGCACAGATCCTGGAACAGCCTGCGGTCATGTTGGGGATAAATCCTGGGAACTCTAACCTGGCTAGGGAGAGGAGGTTTAATTATTTAGTGCTGTGTGGCAGCAAGAGTGTTTGGATCCTTCAGAGAACACAGCCGCTGCCTACAAGAGCATACAGGCCTTGACCCTGGAAAGGGACTTTGCTGAAAGCCCTCTTGCTCCTCTGGGTCTGCTTGTATGGCTCCTTTGTCAGGGCTGAGCTCAATTTAAGACTTGATTTGAAGAGCTGGGCTAATGGACAGCAGGGAGTGGGCTGTGTTAAAACAAGGCAAGATTAGACAATAGACATCCTTGACTTCCTTTCCGGGGCCATGCAGGGCAGGTGAGTGTTTCCAGGAGGAGAAGGAAGCAGCCTGACACAGCAGAGTGATGGGAGAAGGATCTCCCATAAATAGGGGAGAGCATGGAAGAAGGCCCAGGGACACTTACAGGAGTCTTCTGTGTTCTCTTCAGTACTGACCTTGAACCTTAATTCAGTAACGCTGTGTTTGGGCCCATTAGGGCAGAAAGCACCTGCATAGCGATGTAGGTGTTTCACCTGGGGTCGGATTGAGGGTGTTATGGGATCTGGGAAATGTCTGTGTACGGGGTTCTCCTTGTCCCCGAGTACCCCTCTCCCGGTTTCCCTGCAACAAACCCACTTAGTCTGGTTGGTTTCTATCAGTTTATTACATTTAGGTTGCGCTATAGATGCGCCGGGGCGAACTATCCCCACCCGACTGAACGCCGACTGGTATGACGGCCCACGGGGGGGGGGGAGGGGGTTCGGGCCCACCTCGCTCCGAACCCCGACCCAGGGCCCAAAGGTTCGACCTAGGTCCGACCTAGCGGAGGGGGTCGAAAAACCCCTAAACTCCCCCGCTCTTGGGGTCCACTCCCCCGCCCTGGGCCGCTTCTTCCCCTGTGCTTCCTACTGAGTAGTCAGAGGACCCCGGGGTTATGCCTCACCCCAAGGCCTCCAAAGTCTCAGACTGGCTTGCCGCTCGCCCCCTTCTCTGTTTGCCAGGGAGATCCCCCCTTTCGCTGGCCCGGCTCCTCCATTTAAATCCCCCGCCCGGATGACGTCCCCTCTGACGTCATCCCCCCGCGCCACTTCCGGGTCGCATGAGGGTGAAATCCCGGGTGACGTCACTATGGCCGGCCCCTGACCGCACCGGTGTTGTCTCTCCTTCCTGTTGCCGGCCCAGGCGCTCCCCGCCCGAGACTTCCCGCGGCGTCCTGTGCCGCCCAGCCCCTGTCCTCCGGACACAACGGGGACGGGCCCGCCCAGCCACAGTCTGCAGCTAGTATTATTTCATTTCTTTAAGGTCGAAGAGGTTCTTTATTGACCCAAAGGTGGGTTTTTTCACCGCAGAGGCTAATATTTTATTATTCTGCCACTTGCTCTACAATAATTGTCACTTGAATGCACAAGATGAACCAGGCCAGCTCTTCCAAAGCCAGAAGCTCCATTAATATATTTTCCAGTGGGCTAGGATTTAACATTCTTTTTGGATAAGAAAGCAGGAACAATAGAGATGTTTGGGGATGGAAAAGATTGTTTAAAAAAAACCCAGAAAACTTTACACAAAGACACCCCAACTGGAGAAAGTTCCTTGAGGAACAAATAATAAGGGTGGGGAAGAACAGGATGAGTCCTCTTCTTTTTACTGGTGTGAAAGAAGAGGGCCTAATTTTGCGTCCTTGCAATCCCTCTCACCTCCGTCCCATTATCCCTTAGGAGTTCTTGGTGTGTACAAAATGGACCAAAGGGAATGAGCCCTGTGTGCTGACTGCGTTTTTCCCTTTGTTCGCAAGCTCCTCATAAATACAAGGAGTAGATGACCTCTCAAGGTCCCTTCCAGTCCTAGTATCCTAGTATTCTATGATTGTTTGTGCATGATAAAAACTATAGTTCATACTCAAAACATAAGGAATCTAAGATCACTCCTATGCCTCAGTTAGAGAGATTTTTCACCTTCTCCTACCATACAGTTATGGTTTTTGCGGTGGAACCGGAAGATTGGATAATTCTTCTGAAATAGGAATTCTGAGTCCAAACCAAAGCTCTAGACTCAGAACTGATGATGACCAACTTTTTGATATCGTGTCATCCACCTTTAACTATTGGAAAAAGCTGACCAGGTTGGAAGTCCTTGCATGAGGAATGCTGCCAACTCAGCCTGCCCTCCGTAGATGCTTCAGTTCTATAGCAATCGGGTGGTTTTGTTTTATCTTCCATTCCAAGAGCAATGGAGCATTTTGCCAGTGAACCCAAAAGGAAAAGGGGACCAGTACTGAGCTTCCCATAGGATTTTTTTGAAAGTGTGGCACAGACCATTAACTGGTCTGAATGGAATATATTTTCCAAATATATCCCCAGCGTGCTCCCTAAATTAAGAGCACCACGGTCATTTGACAAAGGTATCCTCCAGAATTACGCTAGGCCAGGTTAAAGGGAAGGCTTTCTGAGCCGTTGATGGGGATGGAAAATAAAGCACATTGGAGTGCTCGCGGCTGTGATTTGGGTGCATTCTGAAAGGACACTGGAAAGCAGAATGCATCTTCAATGCCATTTCCCTCTTCTCCGGCTAATCAGCCGGTGTGACAGTAACAGCTGGTCGTCTGGTGCTCTCTAGCTGTCCCCAGCCATAAACAGGAGACCAAGCATCAGATGTTCTGTGAATCCCCATCACACACCCCACTCTTTTGAGACGTTTGGTGTTTAAATCGTCACGCTCTATGGAAAATTACAGGGTCTGATAGTTCACGGATTAACAGTCCCTGGCAGCCCAGTTGTATAATGTTTCATTCTTGCGCAATGTGAGCTCTCAACTTGATGAACACTTTAAAAAATGTTAATTGAAAACCTTGCAGCGGAGACGATTAGCAGGCAGCCTGTGCCTGACTGATAGCTGAATCGGAAGTCAGACTCCATTAAAGTGTTTGTCTCCCTTATCAGGGTGCCTGCTGAAGCGCTAGTGCGGGCACATTGCATTGCTCATGCAGCTGCACTTCCCCTCCCCCTTCTGCTTCCCCGGCAGGCCAATATTCTATTACCGTGGCAACGAGATGATGGCCGTGAGACGGGGGCTTTACAAGGCTCACTATTGGACCTGGAGCAACTCCTGGGAGCAGTTCAGCCAGGTAACCGAAAATAAACTAAACCCTTCCGCTTGTTTTCCCCACTCCCAGGGGCATCCAGTGACATTCTCCTCATGGTGGCGGGGGGGACCCCATTAAAGGGGCATTTGAAATCACCGGCATGTCACTGCGCTCCATTTTAAACCAGCCTTTTCCTGGAGACGTTGATGTGTAATTACAGCTGGATGTGTAGAATAAAGTGAATGGAGGAAGGAAGCCTTCATAGATATGGCAGTGTTGTTCCAGGGCAATCACAGGAAACTCTCTCCGCTTGGGTTGTTTGGGGCTGTTGGAGGGTTTTTTAGCACCTACTAGACTCCAATGTTAAGCATCTTTTCTTGATTGAATTCTTAGCAAGCCTATCTGTCACTCCATTTGGAGTGTGACATTAAGTGGTTGGTGCGGATCCTGCGTCTAAATTGAATGCCCCCGATATAAATGAATATAAGGCTGCTTTGCTAAACAATGCAGGCGGAGGGAAGGAAGCACAGCTGTCAGCAGCTGACTGGGTAAAGAGTCGCTGAAAACAGAGCACACATGTTTAATCTCTTACAAAAGCGTGCACAAGCCTAAATCGTTCTAAGACTTAACACATTTTTGACCTCTCCTGGTTGATCACCCCTTTGTTATAAGTTATACGCTGTTGCTGGTTTTCTCATCTTGTGTTTTTCTTGTTCCAAACTTAGGTACTAAACTCTGGGGCATTTCACAAATGGCAGCATTACAATTGTGCCATGCTGATTCTGCCCTTAAAAGTGAAGTAAACGTGCTGTGGCACAGCTCTCGGCAATTTCAACAGCAGGCTGGTGGTACAGGGGACTGTTTGTAAGATTATTACTATTTGTTATGTGTGGTAGGTCCTCAGGGCTTCACAGGTGCAGAACTAAGTGCTGCTGGCATTTGCGGATGTGAAAACAAGCATGTAGTTTGTATACTTAAGGCGAGGGGAGGGGGCAGCACCAAGGGAGTCGTTTACAGCCATGAATGTAAATGTTGTACATAGACTGTAAGGCTCAAAGAGTCCAAGTTGCAGTTTGATATGGCACCAGAGAGACTTATTGACTGGAAGGAAAACTGGGCCCCAAAAATGCACCGCACACTTGATATCATTAACCCTTGGTGAAGGGGATGACGCAACATAGTTGCATACAAGTGTATGTGAATAAAGCTGCTATGTCTCAAGAGAGTCAGTGTGTGGAAGATTCTCGCTCTATGAGGGGGAACACTGGGAAAGGGTGCGCATATGCACAGCTGTACACTTCCCACGTGTACAGAAGATAATGTCAGATCTGAGTAACGGCTCTCCATTGCGAGATGAACACACACACGCTCTTGCGTACCTTGTTCAGAGAAAAAAAAGCACTGATCTAGCCCTGTTTCCCCATGTCTGCCTATGTGTGTAGCTGTGGTAATGGAGACCTGTTACTCATTTCAAAGACTCTCCCACTGTGAGCAGTGGCAGTAGTGTAATTAAGGAATATTTCTTCTTTCGAAGTCTTTAACTGCTGGCTGATTAAAGTCCGTAATTATGCTGTACATCAGAGACATGATTAAAAATTCACTTGCTTTCCTGCAGCTTGTATCACATGTGGTTGATATGGGTAAAATTGGAGCACATTAGTGGACAGACCAGCCATTAACAACATGCAGAGGAAGCTGGGTCAGAAGTTTGCTCCTGTTCCTTTCATGTCCTCTAGACGTTAATTATAACCCTCACGAGTTTAAAATCAGCCAGCCAGAATGCAGAATATTTTTACAGTTCTGGTGTTTGTTTTCTTATTTGCAAGCTAGTCAGACATGACCGCTACACAGTTCCTGCTTGCTGTTACTTCTTTGTGATCAGTAACATTGATATTTGTTATCAGTAATATTGGCATTATGGTTGCAATACTCTTGGTAGAGTAGGAGGGGCCAGTTTTGCTTGCTGGCTTTATTGCAAGTGGACTTTAATACACTCTAGAGCAGTGGTCCCCAACGTTTTGTGGCTGCCGGTCGCCTGGGGGCGGGGCCATTCACGCGCTGGGCGTACGGGGGCGGGGCCGCTCACAGGCCACGTGACTGGGGGTGGGGCCAAGCATGCGCCGCACACCCGAGGTCTGGGCTGCCCAGGGGCTGCGGGGCCGGGGCCGGCAAGGGCATGCCCCAGGCAGGGGCTGCCCAGGCAATGTGCGCCCGGAGCCGGTACCAGGATGTGCCACAATCCTGGGCAGGGGCCGCCCAGGTGCCGCGTGGTCGGGGATGGCACCAACATGCACCGCGACCCCGGGGTAGGGGCCGCCCATGCGCCCGGGGCTGGCACCTGCTGCACGCCCGGGGGCGGGGCCAGCCCAGATTGCTCTGCGGGCGCACATAAATGGCCCAGCGGACGCCATGGCGGGGACCACTGCTCTAGAGTGACATTAGAAATCCTGATTGTTGACAGAACACACGAGTTTGCCTTGCCAAGCCAGTAGGGCTTTTGGCTAAAGGTGCATTTTTACCCTTTCTAATGGTGGGGTCTCCTGACTGGCTCATTATGTGATTATCTGAGTCAAATGTGGAGATGTAGTCAACCCCCTTTGAACTTGGAAGCCTTTCATGCATAAGGATGATGGGGCCAAAGTCAGATCTGGTGAAAGCTAATATAGTTCCATCATTTTTATTGGAATTGCAACCATTTAAAACAGACCTGTGGTTGGCCAGATATGCCAAAACAGCTCTGTTTGTTTTCAAGAGGTTTATTTAATGGATAATTTAGTATTTTGTAATTTTGGTAGAGTTGTTTCATTGTTTTATGCTTCAGCCAAACCTCCATTCGCTCTTGAAAGACTCTTCTTAATTGGCAGAATGGAAAATTACTAAATATGAATAGTCTTGTCCGAATTCAATTTTTTTCTTTCTGTTTTTACTCTTTCAGGATATTAAATGGTGGGCAGGGTCGGGTTAGGATTGGGGTGCAGCCAAAGAGGGCTCCCTGTGCCACTGAGAGGCCCAGAACATGGGTGCAAGGTTCGCGGGAGGCTGAGGTCTTGGCTTGGAGCAGAGACCATCTGGCCAGGACTCTCTATACAGGAGGAGGAGCCCATGTCTGTTATGGATGTTAACCAGTTAGCTGGTAAGGATACTAGTAAGCATGAGGCTTACCGGTTGACTGGTTAATTGTGTCTTGCCAGTGAACTCTGGCAGGCCATGCTGTGTTGAAGCAGCCCTAGCTGCAGCGCTGGACCTCACAGCCGTGGCGGGACCGCATGTGGCCAGGACTCTCTATACAGGAGGAGGAGCCCATGTCTGTTATGGATGTTAACCAGTTAGCTGGTAAGGATACTAGTAAGCATGAGGCTTACCGGTTGACTGGTTAATTGTGTCTTGCCAGTGAACTCTGGCAGGCCATGCTGTGTTGAAGCAGCCCTAGCTGCAGCGCTGGACCTCACAGCCGTGGCGGGACCGCATGT